TCTGTAGACCTCAGTCCTCTCTGTAGACCTCAGTCCTGTCTGTAGACCTCAGTCCTCTCTGTAGACCTCAGTCCTCTCTGTAGACCTCAGTCCTCTCTGTAGACTTCAGTCCTCTCTGTAGACCTCAGTCCTCTCTGTAGACCTTCAGTCCTCTCTGTAGACCTTCAGTCCTCTCTCAGTGATGTCTCTGCAGCAGCAACATGTCCTCAGAGGACAGGGGACAGTCAACTCTGCTCAGAAATCAATCTCTCAGTTAACATATTAACTTTTAACATCCTGTCAGAGACAAACAGGGAGAGACAGACAAGGAGGGACAGATAGGGAGGGACGGATAGGGAGGGACAGACAGGAAGGGACAGCCAGGGAGGGACAGACGGCACAACAGAGACACCTGCTGAGTCCAACAGGTAACTGCTTCCACAGACAGGAAACACATCACAGGCCTCAGACTCTGTGACATCAGAGGATCCACAGTCAGGAGGAGACAGCTCGTCTCTTTGGAGTCTCATCAGTCCATGTCCTGAAGGACAGTCTGAGCAGAGACATCATGACTCAGCAGAATGTAAACAGAGTTCTGTGCTGGCGATGAACGCAATTTTTGGTAAAATATCAAATATTCAGTAAACTATCAACTATTTTCTCTGCTGTCCATCATGGGACCAAAAAAGTGCAGAAGATTTGGAGGAGATCAGTCACCGAACTTTATGTCGGAGGAACTCAGCGGTGTGGCCAAACAACAGACAGAACTGCCTGTCTTACTGAAGGAGGTTTGTGAACTTAAGAAGATGATGCAGGAGAAAGACAACAAAATCAGTCTCCTGGAAAAACAAGTGGATGAATTAGCACAATACACCAGGATGGATGATGTCATTGTAACAGGATTGAACACCAAACATAGATCATAGGCGAGGGTTGCCACTGCAGCTGGAGCCGACAGCACAAGCGCTGAGGATGACACCCCGGAGGAAATTCATTCCCTGGAGCAGCAGATCATCCAGTTCTTTTCCTCAAATGACATCCACATTAAGAACAGTGATATTGCCATCCACTTCCAAGGAAAGACAACAGGTCTAAACCGGTCATCATTATCCGGTTTGCAAACAGAAAAGTTAAGAATGATTTGCTGCGGCAAACGGAAAAGCTGAGTGGAACAGATGTGTACGTCAACGAACACCTGACCAAGAAGAATGCAGATATAGCAAGACAAGCCAGAGCCCTTCAGAAACAAAAGAAAATACAGACGACCTGGACAAGGCTTTGTAAAGTTTGGATTAAATTAAATGGGACTCCGGAGGAAGCGAAAGTCATGATGCTAAGAGAGCTCTCTGAAGTAGATAAGTTCAAGTGACTGCTCCCTCGGGGACATA